AATATCATTTAAATGTTAATACTACCCAGTGAAATCTACATATTTAATGCAATTCCTAACAAAATCCCAATAGCTTTTTTTTAATAATTAAAAAAACTATCCAATTATTCATATGGCATATCAAGGGATTCCTAAATAGCACAACAATCTTGAAAAAGAAGAACAAAGTGAAGGTCTCACACTTTTATTGAAAAAAATTATATATATATAACACCACAATAATTAAAAGTGTGGTTTTGGCATAAAGACAGACTTATAGATCAATGCAACAGAACAGAGATCCCAGAAATAAGCCCCTGCATTTATGGTCAAATGACTTTTGTTGTTGGGCTGAGGATATAGCTCATGCACAAGACCCTGGGTTTGATCCCAAGCACCATAAAAAAAAAAAAAAGAAGACTTTTTTTGTTATTCTTTCTTTTTTCTTCATTTGTTTTGTTTTGTTTTGTTTAATGCTGGAGATTGAGCCAGGGCCTAGCACATGCTAGGCAAACGCTCTACAACTGAGCAACACAAAAGATTTTTCAATAAGGATGCCAAGACCATTCAATTGGAAAAGACTTAAATAAAAATGTATACTATGAAATTCTTAAAAGACAACAAAAGGAAAAACTTCATGACATGACATTGGATTTGGCAATGATTTCTTGGATATGATACCAAAAGCATAAGCAACAAAAGAAAAACTAGGAAGTAGAACTTCACCAAGATTAAAAACTTTTGCACATCAAAGGATGGTGAAAAGGCAACCCATAGATTGGAAGAAAACATCTGCAAACCATATCTGATAATGGACTGATATTCAAAAAAGACGAAGAATTCCTATAACAAAACAATCTGATTTAAAAATGGGTAAAAAATTATTTTTCCAAAGGAGATACACAAAAAGGTAATAAATACAGGAAAAGATGCTCAACACACTAATCATTAGTGAAATGCAGATCAAAACCATAGTGAGATACTACTTCACACTCATTTAGATGGCGTATCAAAAAGGAAAAAATAAATAAATAAATAAATAAATAAATAAACCCAAGAGTTGGCCAGGATATGGCTAGAATGGAATCCTTGTGCACTGCTGGTGGGAATGATAAATTTTTCCTGGTATTATACCCAAAAGATATGAAAACAGGGTCATTTGTTTGTTTTTTTGTACTAGGGGACTGAAATCAGGGGCATTTAAACTGAGCCACATCCCCAGCCATTTTTCTATTTTATTTAGAGATAGGGTCTTGCTGAGTTACTTAGGGCCTCACTAAAATGCTGAGGCTGGCTTTGAACTCATAATCCTCCTGCCACAGACTCCCAAACCACTGAGATTCCAGGCATGTGCCACTGAGCCCGGTCAAAACAGGGTCCTGAACAGATTTTTTTATATCCATGTTCATAATACACAGTCAAAACCAGAAGCAATTCAAGTGTTCTCATCAGGCAAATAAATAAACAAAATGTAGTATATACACAAAATAGATATCATTCATCCTTAAAAGGGGAGGAACTGGGTGTGGTAGCGCATACCTATAACCCCAGCACTCAGGAGGCTGAGGTAGAAGAATTGTGAGTTCAAAGCCAGCCTCAGCAATTTAGCAAGACCATGTCTGTAAATAAAATATATAAAAGGGCTAAGGATATAGTTCAGTGGTTAAGTGCCCCTGGGTTCAATTCCCAGTACCAAAAAGAAACAAGAAAGGAAATTTGGATACATGCCACAACATGGATGGAACTTGAAGATGTGATGTTAAGTTAAATAAGCCAGTCATAAATACTCATGATTTCATGATTCTACTTACATGTGATACCTAGAGTAGCTAAATTCACAGAGACAGAGGGTAGAATGGTGGCTGTCAGGGAGTAGGAGTAACAAAGTGTTTACCGAGTTCAGATTTCAGTTTAAGACGACGGAAAGAATCCTGCAGACGGGGGCTGGGAGTATAATTCAGTGGTAGAGCGCATGCTAATCATGTGTGGGGCCCTGGATTCAATTCCCAGCATACCCCCCCCCAAAAAAAAGGATTTTGCAGATGGATGGGAGTAATGGGTGCATAGTGATGTGAATGTAAAAATGCATAGAACTATACAACTTTCAGTGACTAAATGATTAAATTTTATGTTATATGTATTTTATCACAGTAAGTATTCACACATCTATACACATACTTGCTATACAATCCTTCCTACTTACTTTACTCTAGTTTAGGATCTTATCTACTCATAGGTAGGTAACCCAACAGCCAGCTATTGCCTTCCCCAGTTCATTCCATTCTCTTCATTCTAACTCAACCTATAGATCATTGATAAGTTCACTTTGCTGTTTATCACATTAATTTCTGGCCTCCAAACTTTCAAAAGTTCTCTATGCCTTGCGCAAGAGAATAAAAATCCAAATCTCAATTTAGCATTCAAACCTTTCTACAAGCAGATAACATTCCAACTGTCTAATGTCCTTATGGGAAACATTCTCCAAAGGAAATTCATCTTAGTTTCCCTCTATTCCCCTCCCAAAACTAATCTTCAATTTATAGTCCTGTTTTTCCCTATAAATTTTCACTGGTCAGTTCAAGTCTCAAGTGTTCCAGGAAGTTTTTTTTCTTTCTTCTTTTTTTAAATTTTTTTTTTTAGTGTTGATGGACCTTTATTTTATTCACTTATTTATATGCAGTGCTGAGAATTGAACCCATTTGCTTCACAAATGTGAAGCAAGCACTCTATCACTGAACCACAACCCAGCCCCCCCCCTTTTTTTTTTTAATAATGGTACCAAGGATTGAACCCAAAGACACTTCACTGACTTCTGAGCCATATCCCCAGCTCTTTTTAATTTTTTATTTTGAAATAGGGTCTCAGTAAGTTGTTGAGGCTGGCTTTATACTTGCATCCTTCCAGGAAGTTCTTTATACTCCTGAAGGCTCACTCAATCTCCCTCTCCTCTGAATACCCACATTTTTTGTATAAACAGAACTCACTAGGCTGTCTTCTAGATTTCCGTAGGTACATCTTATCTTTCCAACAAGAATCTGGGGACAAAAATCTTTCTATTGTACTCCTTTCCTTCATTCCATAGTGCTAATGTAATGCAAAACACAAAGGAGACATTCAAGAATCACCTGTGTAATTTTGGATATGTTTCAGCAACTAGAATATGAAATCAGAATCACTTGGTTTTATTGTAATTCTGAAGGTTTGCCTGTAACACACTATAAATAAAATTGCTGTGGTCCAAAAAGACAGAAAGCAGGCAGTATAAATTGGAAAACAACCACAGGTATTTTAAATCCTAAAATTAAGAGAGACAAAGAACTTGTTCAAATGCTGGTGTTGGGACACAGAACACAGTTAGGCTTTGTGGACATAATAGTGACCTGTAGGCTTTACTGAATTCATGCAAGAGGAGCGGTGTTACATTTGTAGTCACGGGCCTATGAAAACTCCAAATTAAATGTCTCTCCATTTTTTTAAAAAGTGTAGATGGACATAATTTCTCTATTTATTTATTTTTATGCCTCTTTTGTGCTAGGCAAGCCCTCTATCACTGAGCCACATCCCAAGCCCAAATGTCACTCCATTTTTAATAGATTCAGGTCGGGGAGGGGGTCTTCATCAGTTATTTAAGGTCATAATCAGAGACAGGAGCTCTCCTTTCTGCTTTCAACTTTATTGCACAAAGACCTAGGACTGGAATTGGTAGCGGTGGTGAAGAATTCAATGAAGACTGAGCTCAGCAGTGTAGAGTTCTCTAAAGGGCTTGGTCCTAGTTTTGAGCTTGCTCCTCACAGCAGTAAGACCCAAAGCAACTCACTCACCTCCCTGGGTCTAGACTCCCAGTTTTAAAACGAGTCACACCAGATCTCTAAAGGTTTTTCTGACTCCAAAAAAGTCTAATCGTAGCTGCTGTTAAATGTATGATTCTTATAAAGCGATTTCAAATCTCTCTTCCACATTTCAGGAAGAAAACAATTTATTTCAGCAATATAAAAAATGTGGATGCTATTCAGAGACAAAAGATTCTGTCGAAAAACCTAAGTGATTCTTAAAGAAAATAAAAGCCTCTTCCTCGTCACAGTTAGATGTTTTAGTAGAGGAAACAGTGTGGTGGTAAAGATAACAGACTGCTGTAAATTACCAAAGGCCTACTTCACAGTACTTATTATCTGTGCTGGTATGTGGAGGGGTGCTATTGTAGTTCAAAGCACAAACAACATTCCTCAGAGTTTCTCCAAAATCGGTGAGAAAGTTCTCGGGGTGGGGGCGGGGGGTGGCAGTAAGGTAGTAAACAGCCCAGGAAAGGACCTGGCAATGAAAAAGGCACCCTCCAGCCGTTTCTGTATTCCCCTTCCTCCTCTTCATTACCAGACACACTGTATTGTTTCCCTACCTGTCAAAGCTCAGTCCCAGTTTTTTCCCCCCAGTAACAGCTGACCGGACCACCTAACTTCTCCCCCTGAGACTCGCCGGCCCAAGGCCTGCGGGCTCCCCACGCCCAGGCCCGCCGCCCTCCCTCCCACCCCC